GAGAGTGGAGAGTGGAGAGTGGTCACTTTTGGTGAGTGGTGAGTGGTCACTGTAAACTTGGTAAGGAACACGGTTAAAATTAGAAATGAAATAAACAGTGGGACAGTTTTTAGTCTGAATTACTGAAATTGGTGTAAACTACTACTAGTGAGATGTAATATAAAAATAGCTAAAGAAATAGTCCTCAATGTGGAGAATATTCAATTAGAGGCACCCGATAAAGGACATGTATAATGTGTAAGGAAGGAATCCAAAAGTGATCCACTTTTGGATTTATCTTAGATGGGTTTGTGAGTTAAGTGGACTTAAAACGTAACGTTTCCTTGCTTTTTATTGCTGTTCACCGTGATAGACAGATACTGGCCTAATTAGGCCTTAGGGAGCTCTCTGTTATTTTAGTAGTAGCAATACTACACTGTTTGCGTTGGTGACCCTGACCAGGACAGTGTTTGCCTTGCATATTTAAAGCAACAAAAAACATAACTTCAGCTTCCGGCATTCCAGGTTCAGTCCTGATTTTTTGTGAGATTTGATTGACTTAAGCCGGAACAAGAGGGGCAGTTAGCGATATCGGGCAATTGCAGACCTGGGGAAGGGGGCAAAAACTTACGAATTTCCTTTCTTATTGGCCACGTCTTCAAAAATACGCGACCTCTAAAATCTAAATACGTGGTGTTTTCCTTAAACTTCTTCCACCGTTTGCTTGTACATAACATTCTCGACGTGCCCAGTTCTAAAATACTAAAAAAGCTAGCCTCATTTATGTAACGCGCGAAGCGAAATCTGTGGCCGGTGACGTAAAAAGTGCACCCTGGTCACGTACATACGAACGTAGGTGTAAGACTTTTTATTGAGCACTAACTTATAATTGCTATTATTACCTTGAGTCACGCACATCACACGTAGATAAGCCAGTCACATACTCACGACTTGAGGGACATTTGTGACATAACAGAGAGCACATGGTCGATCAATCACAGCGGACGATGGCATTCCTGCAGAGCGGTATTTTCCTCGCCTCAACAGTCAACTGGGACAGAGCCACTGCAAAATTAGCAAATGTCGAACTTAATGTCCGGAAACGAAGTGTCTGGGTTCCACATGGGAGCATTGGTTGGGTCAACATGGACATTATCGTTAAATGTGCTATTGAATTTCATGTGGAAATCATGTTTGCGCTGATATCACATTTATTAAGGAGGTAGAGCTCTTTTCTTGCTCCATTTCCACGGTTGTTTAAGATTCGCACCAAGCACAAGTAAAGTAATCTTTCTGTCCGAGGTGTTTTGTCTCCTGTCGAGCTCAATTTCTATTTCCGATGTGCACTGATGGCGATGCGTGATCTGGTATGGCGATACGATGACTATCGAAATTTTGTCAAGATAATTTTCCTTGGATAACTCATTTTTGACTTTTCCAAAAGTTTTTGAAAACTCAAAAAAAACTGCACTTGTTATAGGTAGCGACAAACAAAAGACATGATTTATTTATTAGGACATAAGAAAACGTTTGAAGCGGGGGCGCCAAAAAGGGTGACCAATTGGTTACGTCACTGCTGTCAGACCGTCTCATTTTAAGCTATACATGTTACAAATTTTCGTTGAGCCTTCATTATATCACATAACTGTACCTGTTGTACCATCACTAAAAGATTGGCAGTCTGGTTGCATCGATCTCATCACAATTATGCCTTATACAGCCTCTTATGGAACGTCGTTATATTATTAATGTGATGTTCAATTTGACTGAAAATCGATTAGCTGCAGTATGTACTACTACTAGTAATCCCCTGAAAAAAACAATATTCGTGCGGAAAATAATATTCGACGATAGATTAATATAAGTAATTAACGTGAGTTAATTATTTATATTTATATCTTGTTAACGATCACTGTGACCAAAATTTAACTTCGATAGATAATAAATGAGGCCCATGCGAATTATGCAGAGCCAGAATGCATCGCGCAAAACTTATAGTTACAGCAGTATGTTTCTTTAAACTTATAAGCTATGCGTTTCAGCGCTGTTTAGCGAGGTATACATGTAAATCATAAATACTAAGATAGACCTTTGCACATTTGTTAAAGCCTGAACTGGGACTCCACTAATTCATTCATTCATATCATGGAATGTGACCTATATAATACTAATACTATGTGACATATGTTGAGTTTCATCAAGACTTGACGGGGCCATCACATTTTCTGACCACCCCACAACCGAACCACGAACGAAGAGGCGCTAGTACAGAAGACTGAAGAGGCCAAAGTGTTCGTATTTGGAGGAGCATAATCATTAATCATATCCCCTGGTCGGCGGCTTATCAGTGAGAGACAACATGAACTTTGTGAGCCCGAGATGTTGAGTGACATTCAGTTGGTAGTGGATTGCATTCCACAATTTAAGTCCCTGAACTGCAAATGAATTGTCAAACAAGGCGAGGTTTGCTGTTGGAATGGTTCTACGTTTTGATATAATAACTGCCAGGTTTCCAATTGGGCGTGAAACAAATTAAATGGAACGTTCAGATGATGAATGATATACAATAATGTGTATAGTATAGTCACTATGACAGTTTGTCAGATAAATCCAGTTCTCTGTATGAGTGAATCATGATAACATCATTGATTATCATGAGTATTACCAATTAATTTGTCAATGTTAATCCTTATATGAAGCTTGCGCTAGTAATGCCGGCGTGTGTGATAAGTGATAACACCATAAATGGAAGAGGATCTATGACTATAGTAACAGTAACGGGTGACTATTTGAGAGGATGATAGATTGTAGATGTGTCAATTTTTGCAAACTTAAGTGTTTATGATACAGCGATCGGTAGATTCTTGTCATCGTAAAGCATGAATAATGACATGCACCCAGCACCAAGTCCTATTGTGATCATAATGTTTTGTAAAAACCACCGTAATTAATCGTTGACATGCGTTGCATGCCACTTTTCGCGCCGAATTTGACGAAACTTTTAGGAAATCTAAGTTTGACCCACACCTATGACTATAATCTCCATGAAATTTCTGTGCAATTTTAAAAAGAATTACGTGAGTTATTAAAGGGTTGCGCGTGGGCAGTTACTTGAACTTCTGATTATATATTAGATCTGGGTTCTTAGTTTTACTAATTCGCTCGCCCAAAAATTTCACGTGGTTTCGGTTTTTATGGTTTTGCAGCCGTACAAAACGGTTTTACAACACCCAAATCCCAACCCTAACCATAACCCCGAAGCTATCCATAACCTTTACTACAACCCTAACCCTAACCCGAGCCCTAAACAATCGAATTCGTGTTTTACTAGCCTGTCACGTGACCAAAACGGTTTTTCGCTCATAACTCTCACAGGGAAGCATTTTAACCGTACGTCATGGAGTAGAGGGTGATTTGGAATTAGCGTCCAAAAATACACTGATCCTGATCAATTTAACAACCAAAGTGCAAAGGGTCTTTTCACAAGATTTTTTTTAAAATTTGGGCGAGCGATCGCGATTTGTTATATATTGTTAACTATGTCCTATACTATTATATATAGTATATATTATATATTATATAGTAGGACATAATATAGAATGTAGGAGCGCCTGATCTTGGCGCGGCCACCGCACTGCACCCTGTACGTATAATATATGTAGATATTAACAAGTAAAAGGCTTAACTGAGGTCCACAAACTTTAGATAGATTGTGCATTGGCGACTTATACAAGTATTACTGGCCAAACTATCATCTTTCCCTCACTTTTCTCCTCAAATTATTTGTTTTATAGTAGTTTTGAAAGCTAAGTATATATATAATAATTAAAACAGCATGCGTGCGCGCTGAACAGTATACAAAAAACGCTTCCGCGCCATACGTACTGCATGCGGTTGGACAGACTCGCAGTCGCACGTGTGTGTCCATCCCTGGGCGGAATCCAAAAAGCCGGTCCGTGGACTAGTCCGTGAAGCATTGTACGGCTTCCATGCACCCCCTTTCGCTGGCCCGGCTACGAGGCTATTTCATCAATGAGATAATATTGATGGTTCAGACAGCGTTTGACAAGGGAACCAGTCCGCGGATCACTTTAAGTGACTAATTCATAATATGACATGATATGTGATAAGGTGATAGTATGAATAAGTCACGACTGGCATTATTTGAGCATACTGTGGGATGTTCGGTTTAATGTTGAGTTTAATATGAAGGCTCAGCATAGTGATGTAAACCTTGCTTGGTGGTCCACGGACTGGGTCTGGCTTCTATATTCAAAATAACATAGTTCTGACATTTTTCATCGGGGTAACTATGATTTAACTATTCACTTTACTAATAGTTTGAATTTAACCTTGTTGTTTTATTCAGCAGCGAACTTTAAAGGGAAAAGACAAAATAAAACAAAATATTTGTATCAGTCAAAAACTCACAAAAATTGGTAGGTATTTTAGAAACTACCATGTCGCTACAATGAACATCATAAAATAAACATTATTCAAAACAGGTCAACTGTCAATATCATTTGTAAGCCGATAAATTGTAATAACAAGGGCTTGGGAATCAAAATAAATGGAGTCACTAAATTGCTGCTCTCCCACGAGTCATGACCACCTAAAGCGAAGTTCCCGCTAACGCACTACTCAGTTTTGGGTAAACATTGTTTGCACTGTCCGCCATTTTAGTGGATCCAAGCAGCACTCCCCTCGTGTTCTGAAATAACAACTAATATTAACACAATATTAGTTTATCAAGTACTCACAATCTAAATAGTTCAAGGGGGCTATATTTATGAGTCGCATTTGAACTTGATTTCTCTTGGAGAATTTCTCTTGGAGAATTTCTCTTTAGACTCTTAACTTGCGAACAAATTGAAGCAGCAAACTTTAGGCTAGAAACTTTATTGAATTGAAATAATCATTCCACGTAACAACGTCTTCTTCAGTTCTCAAATTATTTGTTATATAATAGTGTTGAAAGTATTAAAATACTTTCAACACTATTATATAACAAATAATTTGAGAACTGAAGAAGACGTTGTTACGTGGAATGATTATTTCAATTCAATAAAGTTTCTAGCCTAAAGTTTGCTGCTTCAATTTGTTCGCAAGTTAAGAGTCTAAAGAGAAATTCTCCAAGAGAAATCACAATCTAAATGTTTGCTAATCAGTTGAAAGTTTAGTGGAATATTGAAGACCGGATCTTGGACATTGAACAGCGATATATTACTCCGTATGTTTCAGAGATGCAGGTACGGAGATAATCAATTATTTTTTCTAATTTTATTACGAAGTACACGGTTTTAAAACGTCCATCTGAGATTTTAAGCGACATTGTGTATTATAAAGGAGTACCGCATTATTCAATTGTTCAATGGCTTCATTGTGTGGTTTTTACCATCTGTTTGTTCCAATAAGAGAAAGTCAGGCATATCACAACATTACATTATGCCGCTGATTGCTCTAGCTAGACAATAGAAATCTGTTATTAAACATACGAAGAATGTTTCCAGTGCATTCTCTTTCCCAGATTAGCTGGAAACCAATGTACTGTGTAACTAGCTAATCGTTCCAGTTTACAACAAGCTAGTATAGCTGGGGTAGACTTGAGCTATTTGAAACTACATCTCTTGTAACTTAATAACTAGTAGCCAGTTGTTTTGTTACGTCAGCACTCAGTTGTCTTTATATCTCTTTAGTTTCGTGTGGATCTGTTATCCCTCTACACTCTGGTTTTAATACAGCTACTATTGTAACTAGCATTTCTGTGTAATAGCAACAGTCGGTGAAGGAGTCCTAAGTTAGGTATTCATGCCACCAGGTGACGTGTGTTAGAAAGAACTAACTACATAGTTTACTAAATAGTTAACTGTCTACACACTCATTAACTTCTCTGGAATTCACTGTGCCTCATTAACATTTCATTATGTGGCACACGCCAACTTGCTACTTCTTTTTGACGGATAATGTATATTGTAAAGCAGCACCCGACTTATAATCGGCCTATTATCATGTGCACTCACTCCCCACTGTGCACTTAGGTACTCCCCACTGTGCACTCACTCCCAACTGTGCAGTCACTCCCAACTGTGCACTCACTCCCAACTGTGCACTCACTCCCCACTGTGCACTGACTCCCCACTGTGCACTGACTCCCAACTGTGCACTGACTCCCAACTGTGCACTCACTCCCAACTGTGCACTCACTCCCAACTGTGCACTCACTCCCCACTGTGCACTGACTCCCCACTGTGCACTGACTCCCCACTGTGCACTGACTCCCAACTGTGCACTGACTCCCAACTGTGCACTGACTCCCAACTGTGTACTCACTCCCCACTGTGCACTCACTCCCCGCTGTGCACTCACTCCCCACTGTGCACTCACTCCCCGCTGTGTCCATAATTTCACCCAGGAATGTAAACCTGCCGCCCTTTTTAGGCAGCATTCCGATACAAACACCGTGACAGTAAATCATTGATTACATTACACCGTCCAGTGATCAATACAATTATAGGATCAAATAGCCTTCTATTTTGCACGATATCATCATGTTTCAGGAGGATTTAAGGTTTCATTTCCCGCACTCACAACATCCCAAACACTCACACTCGCATTCCTGGGCTGGCCAGCTGTTCAGTAATCTCGTGTCCTTGTGTCTCTACTCTCACCTTTGTTCCGGTTATAATTTTACTTGTCAGCAATATTCGATGCACTCTCTCGTCAGACGTGAGACATTACATATATAGAATGTACACAGCCATGTTATTATTATTACTCGTGTGAGAAAGAGAGTAGTCAGCGAGTTTACTTCCGTTCTGTATGTAGACACGCACCAAGTTAGCTAGAGTATATTAGCTAGTGTGTTGCAAAGTGTTATACTTACCACGTTTAATCCTGCGATTCGTTTAGTAACCGTTCCCAACGTTATTTACATTGGATTAAGTTGTGATCGACATAATTGTGTTTCGAAAAGCATATTTTAGCTCCTATAACTTTAAAATATTTTGTTTCTGAAGTTGATCAGGTATATCGTAGCTTTTATCGTATTTTTTTCCCTGCTCTTGCCGAAGGCAAAAAGATCGTAGGGAATAAGTATGATATCAGCTGATAAACTCGTGGCTGATTATCTAACAGTTGATTGACACTTAATGGTAAAAAGCGAAAACATATAGTTGAGAAAAGATGTTACTTTACATTTACATTCAAGAAGCAACTAAGATCAAGATTGTGGTATGCTTTAGCTCCTATAAACTTAAAATGTGTTCTGATGTTGATAGTAGATCGAGTTTATCGATATTTTAAAGATGTGGTTTGTTTGTTAGGATACTAGATGCTAATAGTGTTACACATAAATTGGATACATGTCGATCATTATGAATGTCAGTGTATTATTGATACGCATCGTGACCACGAACAATTGGTTTTAAATTTTATGACATGATCTTCTACCATAACCACATTACAGATCACGGGTACCAGCACAGATGCGAAATATTGTTTAATTCTGGCAAGACTTATATGATTAGATTGACCGGCAAAACAACCACTCGATAACATTAGAAAATATGACATAGGATTGTTGCACTAGGGATTTGATGTGCGTGGTGTTCACTCGTGGCGATGGTTGATGTGGTTTTGTTGTGGCGATTATCTCGTTATCTCAAATTGGGTGTGGTACAATGTCGATCTTGTTTGCAGCATGTCTAGTGTGTTGATATTGAATGTAGACAATTGAGTCAGAATTGTCTATTAGAAGATTTCGTACTTGATTGTTTCCAATCACTTTTATTACATTTTATCGTTTAATAGTCCAATAGTATTATTAAATTTACCTAGGTTAACATTACGCATTTGCTTTTTGATTAATTTGAAGAAGACAATTTGTCACTTTTGGTTTTAAACTTTGATTCTACATTATTATCCAAAGGCAATGATGGAGCTCGAAGATGTAAAAACGAAAGAATGCCCAGATCACTACAACAACCAACACTCCAACTAGATCCTGAACAATCCTCACTACGATTACAGTTGACTAGTTCCAATATCATCAGTTCCTGAACAACCAGTCTCTATTAGTACTCAACATATCACCACTCCAGTAACCAGGCTCCAACACCCCTCTCTGATGAGGAAGTTAAAGTTCGTGGTATTAGGAGACCCTGGAGTAGGCCGCACCACACTTATAGAGTCCTACGTTATGGGAATGAGCACCGCAGCACCAGCCAGCGCGCGCCCACGCTCCTTCATGCAGTGCGACACCTCCAACTACCACATTAATGTAGTGGTAGAAGGGTGTCCCTACAGCCTGCAGTTCTACGATCCTGAATCAGACATCGAGCAGGAGGAGTTATCTCTTCTCTTACAAAGTGAGCGCCCTGAAGCAGTGATCCTAATGTACGATATCAGTAATATTGAGAGTTACAGCTCAGTAGAGGACAGGTACAGGCAGGTGAGACACGCCCTGCCCACTGTAAAGTGCGTTATGGTCGCTAATAAACTGGACCTTCGTATCAGGAACCCTCAGCAGTTACCTCTGGTAACCGTGGAGGAAGGCAACAAACTCTCCGAGAAACTCCGGATGAGGTATTTTATAGAAACATCCGGGATTAACCTCAGGAATGTGGACGATTTGATAGATCAGACAGTAAGGTTGTCAAGTCCAGCACTGAGTGAGATTAATTTGAGGTTCAGTAGGAGGAAACGGAGGGACTGTGTTGTCATGTAACCATGGTAACAAGTAACTCAGTAATTAGTGACTAATTACTAGTAACCAGAGTCTCGTGTACTCACTGGAGATGGTGTTGAGAATGACAGGGGAATGGAGTTTGTGGGGACAAATTTTGAGAAAAATAAGCAATTATAATATTATATTTGACCACCTGATTCAGCAATCATTCCCAATTCACTGAATAACACTATTCCCTGTAAAATGATTGGAAGTAGTTATAGATAACCATGGCCCCCTCCCCTCCTCCCTTCCCCCCCCCCCCCACACAGCCCTTCGTTAGGTCCCTACTCCCTCCTCAACCTTTCTAGTTTCTACTCGGTGCTGCAGAGTGGTTATCTGGTGGCTATCTGGTTATGTTCAATTTGTGGTGAATATCAGTCTAACAAGAGGACTCAAAGATTAGCTATTATAGATTTGTATTTGACCTGTTTAGTAGTTTAGTATCACTGATACGATGCATCGAATGAATTTTTACACATACTATGGTTATTTAACAACTTTATACTTTTATTATAATCATGATTAAATACATTGTGAGCCTTAAATTTTATCACAAAAAATTACTCAATCTCTTTGATGTGTAAGTGAACAATTACTCGTATTCCACTAATTTGAAAATAAATACATAATATAATAATATGTGTTATGTATAAAAAAACAATCAACATATGCATAATATAACAATATAATTTGTTCGTCATATGATTTAAGCAACATGCGAGGTCCTTAAGGGGGCCGGGGGGGGTCTTCATCAAAATTCTCTCGAAATTGACTTTGTAGTTGTTTCTGATGGAGGGGAGTGATATCTACCAGCTGTTTTTGGTCCCATGGAAAAATATTGTTCCTAGCCGAAAATATTGCCGGTCAAAGGGCAGCGCTCATGTGTAATTGTATTGCGCGAGCGATTTTCAATCGCGCGCCCTGAAAATCGAGTCTAAAAATCTATCTTCTCCTACATTTTTTGAGCAATCACCCTGAAACTTTCAGGATATGTTCTAAGGACCATTTAGAAGAGATTGTCGGGCCAGAATTTTGAGATAGGCCTTAGAAAAATTTTTATTCGATTTTGAAAATCTTGGACCTCGTATTTTGACGATTTTTTCAGGTCCAAGATTTTCAAAATCGAATAAAAAATTTTCTAAGGCCTATCTCAAAATTCTGGCCCGACAATCTCTTCTAAATGGTCCTTAGAACATATCTTGAAAGTTTCAGGGTGATTGCTCAAAAAATGTAGGAGAAGATAGATTTTTAGACTCGATTTTCAGGGCGCGCGATTGAAAATCGCTCGCGCAA